ATGACTTGTCCGAGTTGGTGTCACGAAACTGAGGTGGAGCTGAGACTAGCATTCAGGTGATTTGCCCTTCCCGTTATACCACGTAACCTCTCAGAAGGGAAGAGGGAAAATCTCTTCAGGGATGCTAAACTAAGGACATTTATTAGGGGGAGGCTAAAGAGTGAGAGGTTATGAATTGAATTTTGTCCATCTGTTCTGCCCCCACCCACCCCAAATGTGCTGTAAATGCTAAAACCATAAGGTGCAGATGTAGTTTGGGACTTGGACTTGTGCTGCTAATGAGGTCATATGCGTGCAGGGTGGGAAAAGAGGAAACTGGGCACAGAGAAGCCCCCAAACCAAATGCTGCCATGGAGTCCACACCGACTCGGTGCCCTATCAAGGTAGAACTGCTCCCGTGGGGTTCCCAGATTAACTGTTTACAGGAATAGAATGCCCCCTCTTTCTCCGGAGAAGCAACTGGTGGTTTTGAACTGCTGACCTTGCAGGTTGAAGCCCAGCGTAACCACCATGCCACCGAGGACTCCTCATGGGCACCGAGAAGGAAACCCCAATGAAACAGAGATAGGTGCCACGCGAAGCTCACTTAGGAGCGGAGGAACAAACCGAAGGGGTGCAGCCAGAGCCCCCAGAGGGACGAGCCTCCCCCTCGACTTGTAGCTTCCTCAGCTGTGACAAACACGTTTCTGTTTGTTAACGCTGCCTCTGGTGGTACAGCAGCTGCCGGGGAGAAGGGAGAGCCTTTCAGAGTTGCTGTGCTGAGGCCTCAAGCACGGGTGTTCCCAGGGGCTGGTCCACTGACAGCAGTGCGCCTCAACTCCCTGGGCTGCTAAGTGGAGAAAGAGGAGCAGCCCCCTCCTCGGACTGGTGTGAGGGTGAGATGAGCTAAGCGTGAAGCAAGCAGAACAGTGCCTGACACAGTGTGACATGAGCTCTGGCTGTTGTCACCATTACCGGCGATCGCATTCAGCATGTTTGTACTTGTTAGAGGAGTTATATAAAGAAACAGCCCTTCCTCCTGCTCAGAAATAAGCCAGAGAAATGCTAGTGCTTGGGCTCTGGCTAACTCCCACTCATGTCGTGTCGCAGCTTAGACATCTTTTCATCTGAAAAGGCTTTCTGGACCCAGCTGTCCCACAAGTTCAGGTTGGATGAGCTACCTGTGTGCCCCCAAGGCCTCACCAGAGCCCTGCTCCCACTCCTGTCATTACCCATACTCTTTTTCTCTAGATTCAAGGGGCCAGGTCTGTCTTGTGCCCCATGGCTTGCCCAGCATCGAGCACAGCAGGGGGTGGGCGAGGGGGGAGATCACACGGGATGAGCACTCACACAGCTCACTGGTTTAGCTCCTGCTGGGTGAGTTAATGATGGGGCGCTTGCCGTAAGCCCCGGGTGAAGAGCTGTTCCTCTCCAGCACTGCTCACTCAGAGCTTTAGCTACTCCAAGTGCTGGTGGCTTTGACCCATTCTGTACCTTCTTCCTCCCCGCTGAGATGCCATCTCTGCCACGTCATCCAGCCCGCTTTTCAAGGTCCAGCTCCTGTGTCACCGTTCCCATGAGTTTTCCTCCAACTCTTCCAACCCACACAGATTCTCTGTTCATTCAGCTGCCAAGTCTGTGCTGAGCTGCCTTCCTCAGAGGGAGGCCCCTGAGATTGCACAGGGAGAAGACAGACGAGCTCCCTTGCCCAAGAGCACATTTCTTGCCTGCCATTTTGACCGCAAGGACCTTTGATCGGCCCCGTCAGTCATTGTGCTCAAGACAGCGATCAAAATGCTTCTGATGAATAGCCACGAAACAGACCAGCCTTGGCCCCTTTTGTTGGTAGTTGTGTTGAAGATGACTCAAGAAATAAATACAGACTTAACCAATTCATAAGGAACATTACTGGGCAATAGCAATAGGGTGGCAAAGATTTACTGCTTTAATTCTGGTAGGCACAATTGTAGATGTGTCTGTATCTTTGCGCTGGTGGTGTAGTGGGTTATACATTGGGCTGCTAACCATAGGTCAGCAGTTTGAAACCACCAGCTGCTCCATGGGAGATGAATCTTGTCTACTCCTGTAAAGAGTTAGTCTCAGAAACCCACAGAGGCAGTTGTACCCTGTCCTAAATAGGGTCACAATGAGTTGGAATCCAATCGATGACAGGGAGTTTGGCTTGCTTTGATTTTTCTTTGCAGTAGAAAAGTCTGGTTACATTTAGAGCCCATGAGACTATCATTAGAGTTGATCTGGCTTAAAGTGTATTTTATGACAGTTTATTTCTTA